GTGCCCCTGCATCTGCAATCCTCCAAACACACCTTGTATATGTGTCATTATTTTTCGACTCAATTCAGCTTCCAGCTTTGGAGGCTAGCTTAGCTTAAATAAAGCAAAAATACAAGACAGAGAATATGCAAAGTAAGTCCTGCATTGTAAATATTAAGTGGGCTGACCAATCATTTACTTTTTTAACATTAAAAAAGAATACATTCACCATACAAATTTAATATTTAAATATGGATTTCAGAATGTATTTTGGCATGGGGCACAGGGGACAATAGAGCAGAGGATTCCTCTCCCAATTGTCTCTGACCTATCCAACCTTTGTTAGGTCAGAGAGTTCTCCAATTTATTAATAAACAACAGAGATAATGTGGCAACCAAGACACAGAGACATACTAAGAGTACTGCTCAGCTCTCTGCCTAGGCCTGATTCTGCTGATCCCTGACAATGAGCGCTGTGAAATTTCGAGGCAGATCAATACACACACACAAACACACAAAACAGATACTTCATGGGCAAAAAGCACCAAAGATATAAAACAAAATGTCTGAAAGACCATAAAACAACTTCTGATGAAATGCTGTTTACATTTTGCAGGAGCAAAATATTCACCACCAAACCTACAATTAGCTTACAAATTACAATAAGTACAGTAATTTTGGATCCCATCTCCAATTCATACCTTATCAACATGTAATAATCACACTGCATCTAAAACAAAGCTGGATAGACTTTATATGCCGAATACAACTTGTACAGTAAGAAGGTAATTTTTTGAAATACTGTGAATACAACATTTGTATGCCATGCTCTACTTCACAAGTTAAAAGAAAATACAATCATTTCTACTCTCAAAACGTATTGAAGTAAAATACAGAAAAGGGTATTCTAATACCAATTAACATTAAGAGAACATATCTCTAAACCAAAGATATTGGATCTTCTAGAAAGACAAAATCAACCTGTATATACTTGGGTAAGAAAAAAAAATTAAGAGCTCAAGAAAGGAGAGAGGATGTTAGCATAGAATCATCTCCAAAAATGGCTTTCCGATGCATCTGACCAGTTTTGAAGTCCATTTGTTTTTCCTCCTTTAGCATCAACAGCCGATATTACCAAGGAAATGCAAAATAATTCAATTTGTACATTAACCAGCTAATCTAGAAATGGCAATATAGTCAATGAAAATACAGAGAAATAGAAAAATGCCAAGGAATTGTTTAAGATGTTTAAGATGACATAGCATAGGGAAAAAGTGATCTGATAAACACTGGAAGAGTTAATAAGCAAACTCATGCATGGTTCCCTAACACCACACTTCAAAAGAACTTACAGCGAAAATAAAGGAATAACCCTTTTTTAAAAAATCTAATTTCAGAAAACAATTGCTCAACAGGGAAGTTAGTGTTTTGTAGATCTTTTGGAAAGCTGATTAATTTCTAAGCTAAAAACACATGATCCTTAAGAGAAATGGCTGAGTCCAGGCCCAAGGCAGGAAGAGGGCAAAATGAGCCTGGATTCTCTTGTTCTGTCAGAAAGTAAAAAATGATAAAGACTAACAGAGACAGTTGACAGGACACAGGACACAGGCTGAAGCCTCCCACGGCCGAATCTGGGACAGCATAGACATCAGAAAGAACGACGACAGTGACGGAAAATAACCCATAGAATAAAACGCAAGTGCATTAGTCAGCAGTGAGACCGAAATAAAGAGGAGAAGTGAAAGCTCTTTGTTAAAAATGCCAGGTAACAAACGTAGGAGGAATGACACAGGAAGAACATTCAATTTAAGTCACCAGTGCCATAAATGATAGAGAAGATCATAAGGAGGCTAAAATCACTGGATAA